GTTGGGGAACTATTTTTCGGTGTTTGAAGGCAGTTGCCACCTATTTAAAAATTCAAATTATTTAAAAAGTTAAATGAATTATTAAAAGACGGATATCAATCGAAATGGGTTTAAAAAGCCTCGCAGACAGGTTCTGCCGTTCATTTCCGAGCGAATCTTAGCCAAATTCGCTTAGCCCTCAAATTGAGGCCAGAACCCGCCTGTTCATTTCTGAAATATGACAGGTAAAAGTAAACCACTTGGCCTGTAGATGGACATTAAGTATTTATTTTTTTTAACTTAGAAACTTTTTATACGCACAGGGTCATTTAAAATTTGATGATATTAAAAACCGGCTATGCGAGACCTCTCTTAAAACAGAAACGGTTGCACGGCTTTAGAAGAAATATGGCACGTGGATCGCTTATAACTCTAACATTTGGAATATTTTTTATGTTTTTTAAATTAAATTTTAGGCGATTTAACGCCATGCGGGTTCACTAGTTATTCCTATTAGCGGTTTGCCCCACCTCATTTCCGTTTTCTTTTACAGTGAGCTAAAGTTTCAACATAAATTCTAAATTGATATCGTACACATGGATACAAATGTAAAGTATTCCATGCGGGGCCCGCAGCTAATGCGTCCTTGCCTGACGCAAGACAATAGTGACAATGTATCTATCCCGACCTTTTAAACGACGCTAGAACGCCAATTGAGTTTCTTAGTTTACATTTTTAACTACCAATCCTCTCTTCCGCCATTTAAAATGTTATTCTTTAGGTAAATAAAGGGTTAGGAAGCTCTAGATATTGAACCACTTTAGATACTGTAGTAGTTAGTAAGCGCCCCTAGATGTTTGCATGTAATCAACATAGCAATGTCGCGGACAAAGTCACTAACTCATAAACGGGGCCAGGTTATTGCAAATAATTAGTATTTGAATCAAAAACTCTGAACTTACATACATATATTGCTCATCCATATGTAGATAAAGTTAAAGATTATGTTTTGTAGTGCTTGGATTATCGGATAAATAAACACCCGTGGTATTACTGCCAAAGCAATAATGGGCCGTATCAAGGCATATCAAACAGGTAGTTGCATTAGAGCAAAAAAAACATTTGCGTTTATTTTGTTGTTGATTCTGGTATCGAAAGTGTCAAAAACTTTCCGGTTTTTTTCTTCTAGATCAGTGATTCCCAAAGTGGTCCAGGTGGACCCCCAGGGGTCCACGGTGACGTGAACAAAATATGGGGGTCCATGAGATGTAAATGGGGGTCCACAAAAATTTATCTGGTTTCGATGTAAAGAACCAAAATGGTTGCTTCATACCCTCTTTATTTAACTTTAATTTTTTGAGTGGTGTATAGTGCTCTTGACGCACTGCTGCACTTACCGTCACTTTGTGTTTTCACGTGGGGAAGCCTTAAAGGCCAACCTGCAGACTAAAAAGAACCGGATGCTGGTATGATAATAGGTGGGGCGCGGCGAAAATTTGCAGGCCGCAGAGATTTAAACACTTTTGTCTTTTCAATGCTACAGGATAGTACGCCATTACCTTTGTTGAAGAGATTCTATAATGTTGAGTTCCCTGAGACTGAATGCTGGTTTGATTCCATAGCTGAGACCGGACTCAAATATTGTCGAATCTTCTTACTGATGGCTCCAAAACTGACTCTGGGCCATGATCTGGGGTCTTTTTCGAGGTTAATGGAGATAAGTTTTCTGTAGGGGAATATGCTTCGGTCTTCCAGACTGAGGTAATTGCAATACTCAAAGCCATGGACTACGTGGTGGAACATAGGTGGAGGGGAAAGAGTTTACATGACTGCAGCGACAACCAAGCTGCACTTAAGGCATTGACCAGCTCTCTATTTAAGTACTTCCAAACTAGTTCCGCAATGCAAGTCTCGACTAAAATATGATGGCGAACATAACGAGGTTGTTTTACTCTGGGTACAGGTCACTCTGGAGTACCTGGTTATGAGACATCTGATCATTTGGCCAGAGTTTGCTCAGACCAGGCATTCCTCGGTCCACAAGTAGTTTTAGCACTCCCACCTTCGGCAATCGAAGCCACCATCAGAAACTGGGTGAATACTTCATTCCGAAATGACTGAGAGGCATGATGGGGATGCAAGTGGCCAAAACTCATGTTGCCTCCAATCTCACAAGGTATATCTAATTTTTTGCTCTAACTGAGCAGACAACATTGCAGGCAACTTGCTGGACTGCTGACTGATCACTTCACGTGGCACGAACACCTGACTGTGATAGGCGTAAATGACATCCTGCCTTGAGGAGAATGAAACGGTGGAACACTTTTTGCGCTTGCTTGGTTGTTTGTCATCGATTTTTCTAGGCTCGTTCTTTTCTCTATTGTCAGTTTCTGAATTAAAAGTTTGGCGTTAAAAGCTTTGCCGTTGTGATGTTTTAAGTATTGTCTTTTAAAAACGTGATAAATATTTTTCGCCTCACTTTAAAACTCGGAGCGTTAANTAGGCTCGTTCTTTTCTCTATTGTCAGTTTCTGAATTAAAAGTTTGGCGTTAAAAGCTTTGCCGTTGTGATGTTTTAAGTATTGTCTTTTAAAAACGTGATAAATATTTTTCGCCTCACTTTAAAACTCGGAGCGTTAAAAATTAAAATGATTCCATTAACACAAATAAACTATTTTACATATGCTCCTAGCCAGCAAGAAAACGCACATTTTACGAACATTATGTTTTACGAGAGATTCTCGTATCGCCAAATAGTTAGAGAGAAGCTCGTAAATGATAAAACAAAAAAAATATAATAGAAAGAGGCTTGTAGTAATTTGTCAGCACAAGAAAAAATTTTAGTTTTGTTGACAATTTTTCTTCAATCACAATATTTTAAAAGTAAGTAGTTTGTTAAATATTCAATTTAAGAAAATTATTAAGTATGTGATTTATTGGCAGACTGGTGCAAACGAAAAGGACGATCTACCACTTTCTTTTGTAATTAAACTTCTTGTAAGTAGCTACTACATATGTAATTCAAAAATACAAATTAATTTAACGAGTTTTGCAATTCTTTCACAGGNTTTGCATACATTGCGAAAAATTCTCTGTGCCAATACTTTGATCCGAAACTATAAATATTTATTAATTATAATTCCATTCAATAAAAGAACTACAATAATTTGAATTAATTAATTGCCTTTATTTTTAGCATTCAAAAACAGTAGATAAAGCAGTGTAAAAAAACGCTTTTTTAACGTAAATTAATCGTTTACGAGACTCGTTTACAATTAAAAAACGGACGTAAAAATATTCGCATACGAATGCTTTTAAAGACGATATGGTTTATATATAAATTTCATATGACTGACGACAATTTTGTCAACGACAATTTTAAACTCCGACAATGCCAATATGTCACTTTTTCAATGGAATTTCTCATGGAATTTAATTGAATTGTTTTTATGAAACAAAACACCCACCAAACTGTCGAATTGTCACTGACAACATGGAAATTGCCTGTCGTTACAAAATTATCACTGTCGCTTTATGAAATAGGCCCCTTTTCAATGTGCCTTCGGCCGTATGAATAAGAAATAAGCAATTGCTTTTTCTTAAATACCAGACATTTTACTTGATTTATTCAAACAAAATTGAAGAAAAAGGTATGACATTTTAAGAAAAGTAAAATTCCTTAGATCATTATTTATACGGCCCAATATATCAAGTTGTGGATAATATATAATAAAAACACCGGTGCGCGAGTCGGAGACATTTTTTTTGAAGTGAATCTTCTTCTTCGACTTTTATTCGATTATCGCTTGTCCAAGGTATTGTGAATGTCGATTTTTCGTTCAATAAGCGACTGTGGATAGTTTTTAGTCGCTCATCCTTCTTCAGCTGTTTGCTTGTAGAAGGATGATCGCCTATAAGTTATTCACACTAACTTATTGGACGAGACAATGACGTTCACAATACCATGGAAAAGCGATTATCGAATAATAGTCCTTTATCTATTACCGTCGACACTCGCAATAGGGGTGCAAATAGTGTGCCTATTAGACCGTTCGTTAAAATTAAAATTTGTATTTCCCATATGCTTATGCTTATTTATGCTTATGCAGCAATTATTTCCCATAAATACCCCAATATGTTAGGCTAAGAATTCAATTGTAAAAGAACCTACAAAGCGACATTGAGTTGCTCAGTAAAATAAATTCAATACAATTAAAACATAAATGAATTGTTTCATTCGATACACTAGCCAAAGCATGATAATTTGTAACAATTGTTAAAAAATATTTAAAACTATTGCTTAATGAAACAAACCTTTTGTCAGTTGTTTTTCTAATTGCGATGTGCATAACATGCCCCTGGAAATGATATTTTAATTTATTTTACAATCAAATGTGCTGTACAGTATCGATACGTTGCTTGAATCCAATGTCATTTACTAAATTTGCTATAACTTTTCTATTTTCAAATCGATTTGCAAAAAATTTGACGGGTGATTTTTTTGAGGTTAGGATTTTCATGCATTAGTATTTGACAGATCACGTGGGATTTCAGACATGGTGTCAAAGAGAAAGA